AACAAGGTTACCTTAATATTACTTATTGTTACTTACTGGTTGTGTTGCCAGACATCTGGATAATGCATTTTGAATCTTTTCCAATTTCACGCGAGTTGAATGGCCGCACTCTCACCGCGACCTTCACTGATGCTCCCGCCATTTCCTGTAATAAAAAAGTAAGAGAATTATTTTTTTAAGGCCCAGTTATTAACATACTGAGTTGAGCCAACAAATCCAATTAATTTAACCTTTGAGATTGGATCAAATTAATGGCTAACTTGTAACTGTATGGGGCTGCTGGGTTATTACAAAAACTTGAAAAGGTAATACAACTTGAAATGGCAATATACAGTAAATCAAATCTACCAAGCTAATATGCTATATACTCATTTTAAATAATAATGCTTTATCCAATATTTTCCAAATACTGAATTAAATATGCATCACTATATTTAATACCTTTCTTATATCTCCTGTACCATCAAATCATGCTTTCTTTCTTTTTGGAGCATCTAAGCTACATCAGCAATTAATATTTGTATTGTTTGTGTCCTAAACTGCCATTACTTGGGTTGGCATTTAGAAAGAACACATATAACTGTACTATTACAATGGAAGTTCTGTGTTATAATGTGCCACCTAATCCTACTGTTGCATCTACAGCTTATTTGGATTTCTTAAAGTTCTTCTGCCCCTGGGTAGGTCAATGTCTAGCTACCCTCTGATATCGTTTCTATCCAATCATGACTCTGCTCTTATAAAAGTGACACCAGAGCAGAAGCACAAGTGTCAATTTAGTGGTAACAAGTGAACCCCCCCCAATGCATATATTATAGGCATAATATCAAAACTTTATTTCACATTCCCTCTTGCCTGGAAATAATTCAATCACTATTTTCCTATAGGTTTTTTTTTTAAGGATCTGTAGGTAGGTGACATAACTTGTCAATCAGTCAGCTGTCTCCCATGTGTTTCAGGAGACAGCTATACAGAACTTCAGGATTGGTTTGGTCAGGACACAGATACCATTGCAGTGACGGGCCAATCAGGCGATGGTATCCCTGTCTATCGGGACTCACAAACATCTCTGGCCAACTGTTGATAAAAAATAAAAAAAATTAGCGTTTTAGGATTTTTAATCTAATCACTATTTTTGCCACCATTCAGAATACTCTTCTGCTCTTATCTCCTCCATAACTACGCGCTCTCCGGTGATTTAAACATAAATGTACAGGGCCAAATCTTTCACATCTGTACCAACAAGTTCAACTAGCCTCACATGTCTTTACATGACTGTCTTTATGAAATAATTCCTTAAGAGCAGGATTAATAAAAAAATTAACAGAAAAAGGTATAAATGTATATTTAGTTGTATACTACTGTGATACCCAAGACTTCACGTATGTTATCCTTTGCCCAAAAGGTAAATTACCTATGCTTCCTGTATAGTATATTCTGCTACTCTAATGACCACTAGGCATTGGAGGGAGCATACCTCTTTAAATAATTTCTGATCCTTCTTCATATACAGAAAACGATAGCAAGAGACTTCAGAAGGTCCATCCGATTGGACAATGGACAAATGGCATACCAAGCATTGATCTGAGTAACACATTTTCCCTTCTGAATTATCAGTTACCCTAATGGTACTCTCAACTCTTTGTTGTTACCCTTATTAGTCCTCAAAGTTTAGGACACAAACAATACAAATATTAATTGCTGATGTAGCTTAGATGCTCCAAAAAGAAAGCATGATTTGATGGTCCGGGAGATAGAAGAAAGGTATTAGATATAGTGATACATATTTAATGCAGAAATAATAAAATATGAAACATCTCAGACCACAGAGGATTTGAGGCATTTTTCATCCTGTCCCGCAATGCATATTGTATTAATATACTGTAAATGTGAGAGGCAAACAGTGATGAAAAGGACATATGCATGCTTCTGGAAGGTTGTCTGTGGATTGGTCGTCATCGGCAAGCAAATAAATGGTTGTTTATTTAATATGACATTACCAAGGAGAGAACGAACATGACAATGTTCATTAGTTTGTGAAGCTTTCTCTCAAGAAACTGAAATGCATTCTTCCAAGCCAAATGCCTTCATTTAATCTTTATAGAATTTCAATAAAAATGCTAATTCAAGTGTATTTCAGTTACCTCAAGTCACTGCGCCTCAAGTGTGGCAGTGTGAACAAAGTCACAGTACATAATAGACTTTTTATTTTAGTGCAATTTCAAAGAAATTGCACTAAAATTGTACAATGAACTGCATTACAAGTAATTTACTAAATATATCGAGTTAAGATTTTATGATTTAAGACATTGATAGGCCAAGGGCAGACATCCAATGGGTTTATTTGTCGTTTTAGGACAGTGGGTTAGAGATGTGCAAATAACACCTCTGTGCTATTGGATCAAATGTAAAAACTCAACTTGCTGGCTTATAGCACAGATACAGCCTAATTTTATGGAGCCATTTATTTTAAACTGTGTAGCTGACATTTTCCCTGCAGACTGCACAGCAGGATGTAAACAGAAGCAATGAGGCTGCAAGAACTGTATAGGAGAACATATTTATCAATTCACATAGGGTTCAGGGTACAGTTTAATTCTTGTGCAGTCTCTAGGGAATAGTTATCCGAGTAAGTATGTTGGATAGTTCTGTCAGGATTTCTTTTTCTGTCTGTGATCCCACTAGGGAAATAAGAGTGTCACTTATAGTGACACTAAACTCAGGAGTTAAATCTTAAAATGCATTCAAGTACCTTAACTATTTACAAAAATGTATCTTATTTGTGTATCACTCGGCTGTAGAGGTTCAAATTATCTCTGAATTGGTGCTGATGCTGTCCTTCCTTCTGGAGGGGGGCTACTTTTGTTCTTTATGGTCTCTGTGTGTGTTATAAAGTAGTCACCGCTTCAAGCTTGCTCCCGTGATAAGACTATACCTTACATAAACTTGCTAACTAAACATGAGATTGCAGTCCATCACGGGAGTGAGCTTGGAGCGGTGGCTACTTTACAACACACACAAGGACCATGGGGAACAAAAGTAGCCACCCTCCAGAAGGAAGGATAGTGTCAGCATCAATTCAGAGATGATTTGAGGATCTACAGCTAAGTGAAACACAAATAAGATACATCTTTGTTAATAGTTCAGGTACTTGAACTCATTTTTAAGATTTAACTCCTGAGTTTAGTGTCACTTCAAGGCAGAGATGACCAAATGGTGGCTCTGCTAGGGGTCTTATTTATACCAGGACGTCTGTGTTAATGGGTATTTTAGATGTGTTGTCTGGCATTTTTAAAATGCTTCATTTGAATTGACTTGAGTGACAAAAAGCAGCTCAATACAACAAAAATGCATGAAGGGCTTTTTTTTCCCAAAGCATTGCAAAAAACATTGGTGGAGCATAATACAAGTGATGGATTTTCCCATGTAAATAATTTGCCTGAGCTACAAAATACATCCAAGGTGCTTGAGACCAGGAGGTCAGTCCATAAGCCATTTTAGGTGGGACTACATGCCGAAATGTAGGGTTGAGTAGGGTTGCCATTCATTCGACCCTGAACCGAAAAGTCCCGATGATTACAACTGCTTCTTTAGTTGTTATACAATGTGTGGAGTTGACACTCCTGTGCTCTGCAATGAGTCACTTTACCAGTGATATTATAAAAACATTGTAACAATATTGTTGGTTTTATTTTGGTACTTATGTGTACATCAAAGACTTTTCCTTTGATCATCCAACATTGTTGGTATGTTTATATTTCAAAGTGATTTTATTTAACTTTGCTTAGTGAATACAATTAATGAGGTGAAGATGCGCTGACTTCAATCATCCGATTTTATATGGACAAAACCCCTGTTTGAGGCTCTACAGCTGAGTGATACACAAATAAGATACATTTTTGTTAATAGTTAGGGTACTTGAATGCATTTTCAAAATTTTAAACTCCTGAGTTTAGTGTCACTTTAACTATGATCTGACCCTTCAGTGTACATTATATGACCATGGACACCAGTAGCAGCATTTTGTACAGCACACCTATTACAAGTTTTTGTAATTATAGGTAGAGGACAGGATGCAGAGGGTTGTGTTTAAACTATCTTTTAAGGTGCCCATACACCTTACGATTCTCGTACGATAATCGTATGCAATCGCGTTTTCATCCGATATTCGCAAGGTGTATGGGCAGTGTACAACCGCAAATACTGTAAAATCGTACGACTTTTGACTTTTTAAGCATGTTTGAAAACTTTGGTCGATCGTACGATTTTCGCAAGGTTAGTGGCGTTTCCATACGTCAAAAATCGTACGATCTACACTGCTCATGCGCAAACGAAAATACATGCGGTCGATTACCGCAATTCGTCCAGGTGCTTTTCTTTAATTACGGCTAATTGAACCTTGCGATGATGGGGCTGCTGTACGACAATCGTAAGACGGTTCGATCATGGGACGAAAAGTTTCGTCCGATAATCGTAAGGTGTATGGGCACCTTTTATACAGCACTTTTCCAAATAAAAGAAATTATAAGACATTCTTCTTTGTTTGACTGCATTACAATACCGTTTACAACATATAAACACCAGGCGCGTTGAGCACAGTGACATGCGATAAGTGGCAGTGTAACACAATAAGGTTACTAGAGTTTTCAGAGATCTGATTACACAGCATCTGGAGGTGTGTGGAATCTGCTGCGACCACATCTACAGCTTGCCAAGCCTCACTGTGTCTCTGTGGCGACATCTCTGAGGATTTGAGCCAGAAATATCTAGCATGCCGTCCTCGCTTTCATCATTCACAGTCTTATCACCATGTTACTGTGCCTCAGTATCTGATAGGACAAATGGTGGCAATACAAATACATTGCCTTATTGCTCTACTATAACTCACTTTGACAGATGGCTAATAATCCTTTCATTTTAGCCAGATGCTGGTGGGTTTTTGACCCCCCTGGCTCTATTGTCTCTGGGAAACACCGCCGGCAAGGTATCTCAGCTAAAGAAATTTAAGCTACAGGTGGAATTTTAATGGTAATATTTATTCCTTTATAGTGCAGCAATTAGATGAAGATGACACAATCCCCAGTTCGTATTCTGATCTGGACACAATCTGCATTGAGTTTGCATGTTCTCTGTGGGTTTCCGCCC